CCTAAAGGAAAAACTTGCATATATTATTTAATTTGCGTTACGTGTAGGCATGTGAAACGCAGACAGTATTTATTTTATTTTAAAATGATTATGCTTGTGATTTTGTAGCAAATGAACATCCATATAGACGAAGGCTGGGTAGTGATCACTATTGGTGACTGTAAAAGGATACTTTTTTTTTATTTAGTTTGATATCCATTTTATATCACACACGAAGATTTAAACAAAATGGCAACACTGCATGCGTGAAGGTGCATTGTGAGTCAGTCGGTCTAAATGACGTACGTTCTCCCTCCTCTTGGGTACGGGAAGAATATTGAGAAAGTGGAATGAAAATCAGTTTTCAACAATACTCGTCATAAAACCATCGTCATCAATATTACCTTTTCAATATTATTGTCAGTATGTCAATTTATTGTCAATATATTGACCTGTGTAATCAACACTTTAGTGAATTGTCATTAATGTTGTCAATATTTATAGATTGATTATATTGCAAGGAAAATTGACAATACGATGTTTGCCAATAGTAATAGTAATGGGTGCTTTACACCCGAATGCAACCGAAACTTCCATAACGGCTTGCAGCAGTCCCTTCGCGTCTGCTATCGGTGAAGATTAAAAAGATATAGCAAACTATGCTTTCTCTTTCTAAAAAAAAAGATGTGCAATGGAATCATTTTTGTGTCGAGTCAATTCTCAGCTTGATTTTTGCACGTTGTGAATAGTCTCGCAATATCAAAGGAGCTTGTAAAATCAATATCAAGCATGATATTTCGTTCCAATATCACGCGTGATATTGCGAGCGCATGAGAGCGGAAAAATATCAATTTATTTCTGATTTTGCCAACACTGACCCAGAAGTCCAATGACGTAGAAATTGTTTACGCTAAATCTCATTGTTCAATGAGATCGATTGTGCTACATTACCCCGAATGTAACTTCCCTGATCGCCATCACCCCGAATCGTAGATGATTCACCATTCGAGGGTCTTCAGATAGAAATTTAGAGGTGATATTCCCCTCATCGTATGCAGAATGGGGATATTGTCAAAATTATCACATAAATCAAGCAGATTAAAATGAAGTTTCCTACCACTCGAACTATGCTGTGGAACAATATTTTGAAAAAAATCATCTATGGCCATGATTATTTATGTTAAGTTAGAAAAAATTGGAATTTATTGCTTCGTTTCCTTTGAATCGCTGGTAGCAAGTCGTCTCAAAACTGCTGGACAATATGATTAATTTACCCTCACATAAACCTTCGTGGGGCTTCTCTCAGCTTAATCGATAAAGGCACAGCTGTAAAGTAAGACTATTCTAGAGGCGGCTGGGTTCAACTTCTGATCAGGTCTAGACATTTTTCGGGTCTTAATTTTTTTTCGACTTGCCTGAACATCCCAAGTAACAATTTTGGTTTTATGAATGTTCTGTAGACCACGAATTGGACTTGTAGAGTTAAGGGATCTTTCTTCGTAGTTCACTTTTTAAAAAGAACTTTTAATGCTAACACTATTTATTACCGATCTTACACGTTACCCATTTATGATGAAAAAGAGGTAGAGCCTCGTGTGCCCTACCGTTTTAAAGACTAAATATGCTTACATTACAAAATTATGTTACCTGTCTCCTATTGGTGGAGCTACGTGGCGTGATGCGCCACGTTTTCGCGCCAACCAACCTTACTACCTGATTGGTAAATCCACCTATCATTATTTTCTTGACGTAGAACGCTTCAAAACCTTTATAAAACTTGTAATGTTACTTGGGATAGAGTATGATAGTACTTGCCACTCAATAATACTCAAGTAACACTTAGTTGAGACCGAGCCCCGTAACGTGGGTAGATCACCTTTTCGTGGTACGTTACGGGATGTAAGATCTACCACCGATTCCTAGTGTTGACTACTTCAAACTAGGGAAACAGGATTTTTCAGTAATCAAAGGAACACATCTTAGTCCTTGTTACTTTTTATGCCTTGTTGATAGTGATAAGTCCTCGGGTTGCCTGGACCGAGGATGATCTTGAAACAAAGAAAAATGAGTTAGTTAGTCTTCACCCATGTAATTCCTAATCTTCTATTCGTTGTTCCCAAGTTTGAAGTGATTAAAGCTAGGGTTCTGACGCATGGTCATTATCGGTGATATTGCTTGTTTTTTTGCTAAGGAATCCAATTTTGACTGAAAAAGGGGCGCGCCATTGGAGAGTGTTTCAACACACTGAAGGCTATAAATAGCGGGACCTTTCAGTTAGAATCGATTCCTTGCGATGAAGGCAAGAATGGCAACTGTATCAAAACCGAATACTTCATCATTTCTCAATAGTGATGGAGTAATACGACATGCACTATGAACTAAAGACACGGGATATACTACAATAGATCAAATTACTGGTCTCAGTGGATTTATGTCCTGAACAGAGGAAAAAACTAGTTGAGGCCGGCATTAAGTCCTAGTAGGGATTTTATAAAGCCAAAGAAGAAAAATATAAACCATCGTCAAAAGAGGACGGCCCCAGCGTAGTGATTAATATCCATACCTCTCACGCCAAAGTCCGAGTTCATGTATCGGGATGGTCCACCGGAAGATCCAGAACATCCGTACAAGCAGTGTTGGAAAAGTTCGCGATATTTCACGAAGTTCACCTAGGGAAAAGTTCGCGAGTCATAGTGAGTTTTCATGAACTTTTCCATCACTGCGTACAAGTGTTCAATTCATGAAACTGATTCAAGATCTCCGCGGTTTTTTTCGAAACCTCTTAAAGACGTCTTATCAAAATGAATTCAGAGTTGTAACCAAAATATTAACCCTGAGGACCACGAGATGATTCACCGGAAGATCCAGAACATCTGTTAAAGTGGTCAGTTCTTGAAACTGATCCTAGAGCTTCACTTTTTTCAAAACAACTCACTGACGTCTTATCAAAATGAATTCGGAGCTATGTTCGGAAAATTTACCCTTGGGTCCACGGAATGGCCCTCTAGAGGATCCAAATCATCCCTAAAAGAGGCAAATTCATGAAGCTGATCCTAGAGCTCTTCTGATTTTTTCTTAATCACTCATAGATGTCTCATTATTATTATTATTTAGCTTTATTAAGGAGGCTTTCAGCCGTGGGCTGGTTCGCCTCCAAAGATGTCTCATTAGAATAAAATAGGAGTTGTGACCGGAAAATGGACCCTTGGGATGGACTTAATTGTACATGACATGTTTACATACCATAATTTACGTCAACGATGGATTACGTCTCTTGTAAATCTCTAGGATCCGTTTCATGAATTGATCACCTTTACGCATTGTCGAATTCTCGAAGAGAAGGAAACTAGTTTTAGGTTTAAGAGCTAATTATATTTCGACTTGTCTCTTCGGTGGTTGGAACTAAACTGACAAAATATTTTCAATTTGTTACATCAACACATTCTTCTGATGTGTACGCCGATGGTACATCTCCCTTTTTTCAAAAGAGATCGTAGGGTGCCAGCCAAACTGGAAGTCTACGGGTTCTTTCTTGACGCTGTTGAACTGGTTCTTAATATTCACACTGTTAGCAGGAACAACAGATTCATCATCCGTCATTATATCATCGGGCTCGTCATCATCAGGAATGAGTTCATCATATGGAACTGGTTCTTCTATCAGCACTGCTGGGACCAACGGTTTCGGAGCATGTAGGTGGAACTCGTCAACTAGCAAGGCCAAGAGAAGTTGATTGCGTGGATTTGGAGATTGATCGGCATCATTTTCATCCGGATATCGTTGTTTTAGCTGGTTGGTGTGTGCTCAAATCAAGCGTCCATATTCGAGCAAAACAGTGTAGTTCACATTGCCCTTGTGCTCGATTACCTGTCCTGGAATCCAATCGATTGTGTTGCAACGATGGTCCTGAGCGTAGACCAAATCATCCGGATCGAATGATTTCTTCACTGCGCCATGCCGTCTGTTGAATTCAGCGTTCTGCTTCTTGTTCTCCAAGGTTGGACTCTGAACACAATGCTTTAATAGGTCCAGCGTTGTTCGTATAGGTCTTCCTAAAAATAAATGAGCAGGTGTCTTACCATCCGGAGCGCTTCTATTTGAAGTTGACCGGAAAACTGAGAGGAACGTCTGGAGATGCTGGAATGTTACCATGGTTTTCCCTTCGGTGAGTTTCTTCAGTCCTCTCTTAAGGATGTCGAAAAAGCGTTCAGTTTGCCCATTCAATTGTGAGTGCTAAGGGTTTGTCGTCAGGTGGTGGATCCCACACAGAATTGCTTGAATCGAGCACTTACAAACTGGGTACCGTTGTCCGAAACTAGGGTGTGTGGGTTGGCGTACATTGCGAAAGTTTCTGACAGAAATTCCAATGTCACTGTAGTAATTGTATAGGCGTCGACCACGACGAGGTAGTAATAACCATCAACTGGACCTACGTAGTCGATGTGGATCCTCTCCCACGACTCAAGGGTAGTCTTACGGGGTGATTTTGCTGCAACAGCACAAACGTTTCAACATCGTCGTAGATGTTGGGCCAGTAAACGAAACTTCTTGCGAGTGATTTCATTCGGTCTATTCCGGGGTGTCCACGGAGGAGTTGTCGGATGATGCGCTTGCGGAATCGTTCTGGAACTACAACTCTTGTACTTGGAACTACAACCCTTGTCGGGAATAGGACGGAAGAAGAGCTGTATCTGGTAGCTCGCTTACAGTGTTTGGCCAGCCATCGCGGATGTAGTTGATTATCTCTTGTAGGACCGGGTCGTCTCGCATTTCCGTGGAGATCATATCGGATGTGACCGGCAAGCTGGATATTGAGTCTGCGAGAACTGCCTCCACGTCAGATTCCGTTTGGAGAGCAGCAATCACGTATTCCTCGTCTGTTTTGCTGTGACAGCTCATGAAGCGGGACAACACGTTGGCATGTCCAAAACTAGCCGTTGGGATAAACTGGATGTCGAAATCATACAGCAGCATCGTTAGCGCCCAACGCCCTTGCTGCCGAAAACTTTAAGGAGCGGATTTTAGTCGGTCTGCAGCACGAATTTTCGTCCGAATATCATCTTGTGAAACCGAGTGACAGCAAATACTAACGCGACCGCTTCCTTTTCAATTTGACCATAGTTTTCTTCTGCGGTCCATTTCCAAGGAGCATCCTTCTTTAGTAGACGGTCAAGCGGCGCTTGAAGTTCCTTCATCTGGCCAACGAATCGTCCGTAATATTTGATCGCACCAAGGTACGAGCGTAGTTGCGATACATTCATCGGTGGTGGCATCTCGGAGATAGCGTTGGTTTTAGCAGGATCTGGGCGGAGACCATCTTTATCGATTATGTGACCCAGAAACTTGATCTGCGGAAGAGAGACCCGGCACTTCTCGAAGCGTAAGTGAAAGCCATACTCACGAATCCGGTGAAGCACAGCGTTCAGCCTGCGATCATGATCCTGTTGAGTTTTTCCAGCGATCAAGAGGTCGTCCAGGTATGGCTTGACACCTGGAATTCCAGCAACCATACTGTCAATGATCTTCTGGAACGCTCCAGGCGCAGATTTGAATCCTGGTGGCAATCGATTGTACTGGAACAGTCCTTTATGAGTGTTTATAGTGAGCAGCTTTCGAGATGCTTCTTCAACCTCGACCTGCAGGTAGGCATCGATGTTGGAGAAGAAACGGCATCCGGCTAGTTCGGAGTAGATGTCGTCTGGATGTGGCAGTGGATGGCGATCCGACTCTAGGGCATCGTTGAGACCTGTAGAGTAGCCACGACAAATGCGTACGGAGACATCGGACTTGCGAACCACAACTATGGGAGCAGCCCAATCGGAGAACTTGACTGGTGAAATGATGCCGTTGTCTTGAAGCCTTTGGAGCTCAGCACCAACCTTCGGAAGTGCAGCGTAGGCAACCGGTCTCTTAGGGCAATACGCAGGACGAGAATCTGGCTTCCGGTAGAGGATTGCCTGTGCTTTTGTGCAGCATCCGAGCGAGGTCTGGAACACTTCAGGAAACTTGAGTTGCAAGGATTGCATGATTGCGTTTGAGTTGTGCTGTATGGTGTTCACTAGCGATTTGAATGGGACCGACCAGAGATCTAACTGATCGATTGTTTCGATACCGAGAACGTTGAGATCAGGGTTTGTTCTAATCTAATCTAATCTAATCTAACACCAACAAAGCCAGTTCTTGAAAGCATCCTGGAAAATGATATATATACCTAGATCATTTTTCTTGTCTATTTGATACATGTTTCACATCAAAGATGCGTCACACATATCAAAACGACCAGGCCTACTGTGCAGCATTTAAGGGGCAAGATGAATAAAAAAACATCGGGCCTGTTTAAATTTAAGATTTAAACACGATGCTTCAGAATCCAATAAATGGATGAAACGTGGACATCTCGTACTTTACGTTCCGATTTTCGTAATTATTTGATTGGTTGGTCGTTGGAAGCATCAAAGCTAGAAAGGTTAAGTGATGCTTCATTTTCTTCTGACGGTTGGGGCATGAGCACTAACTCTTGCCCTAGCGTTTTATGACTTATGGCTATAGCTCCATCACTCGCTTTCTGAAAAGAGAAGAGGGAAAGGAATAGGAGAAGGACAAAGCGAAAAGGATTATGAACATAAGCAATATTTTTGATTTGAAATATACAATATAGAAATGCAGAACCCGAGTCTTGTCACTATTCTCAAGCCATAAAAAGTATCAAGGACTAAAATGTGAACCTTTGATAACTAAAAAATCCTGATTCCCTAGTTTGAAGTTGTCACGACTAAATAGGGTTCGGTGGTTGATCTTATATCAGTAACGGACCACAAAAAGGTGATGTCCCAAAGTTACTGGTTTGAAAAGATAAAAATTAACAAGAACTCACTAAGTTTAGCCAATTGAACCTGAAGGCTGCCTGACATGTGTTGATGTAGAAGTCCAAATTGTAGACGAAGCTTGACGAAGATCAACATAAACTAGTCTAGTTTATAGTAGTTGCGCTGAATGTCCTCCTTCGATTTGAGATAAACAAATGTTCGGATGTATGTAGTCGATTTTTGATGTGCATTGGCCAATGGTCAGGTTCAACGCTGCGACTCAACGAATGATAGCACTAATGATGGGACGAATGATGGAACGCCTCGTGGAGGTTCTGCTTGGCTTCGAAATAGCTTATCAGTGGCAAATAATAGGTACCTAGAAATTGTCTCCTGGACTTGGTTATGGCCAGTTCAGCAACCGATTATTGATCATTGAGATCAGGGTTTGTTAAGACGAAAGTGCGGCCTTCCTTTGTTACGTCTTGAACGGTGATTTTGAACTCACCCAGGATGTCGATGTTGTCACCTGATGCACTCACGGCGATGACTTCCGTAGAATTGATGACAGGCTTACCCACGGCAATCCAAGTCTGCTTGGAAAAAATGGTGATGTCGGAAGCACAATCGAGCTGCAATGTCGCTGTTGAGCCGTTGATTTCGATCTTGGTATACTTCCGGTTCTTCGTTAGGTCGATTCGCTCGACCGTGATACCCTTAAACTTGATGAAGTGTTTAGGTTTCGGTTTATCGACCTTCTTTGCTGGCTTCTTTTCGGATGATGAGCAGTAACCTTCCTCCTGGCCCTTCCACTTGCAGTTCACACAGGTTTGAGACTGGTAGGGACACTCCTTTACATTGTGTAAATCCCCACAGAACCAGCAATTCGTTTGTCGTAATTTCTCCTTCCTACTTGTTGAATGTCGATATATTGCTTTAACGATAGATCTATCTGAGCAACCTTTCTCGATCATCTTCGTATCCTGCTTGAGGTTGGTAATGCGGTTGCACTCCTCAACCAGGTTTCCAAGCTTCAGCGTTGCACCGTCAGCCGGCGGTGCGGTTTCTTCTCCTTCCAGCTTTCCAATCAGCCTGGTCCGGATGTCTGAATCGCGCGGTGTCTGGAGACCGCATACGAACCTGAGCGTCTTGAATTGGTCGCTGGAGAGCTTCTCGATCTGGAACGATGATTCGGCAAAACGCTGTTAACGTAGCGTTCGTGGAGTTGCGTGCCAATTTTCCTCAGAAGCAGCCTGACCTTAGCTTTATCATCCAGGTGCTTCCCGTTCTCCTTGAATACGTCCTCGGATCGAGCGTACCACGATTCGAAAAATAGTCCTCCGTCTGAATCATAATGAAACTCGTCAATTCCGGTGGAGAGAGACTCGATGATCTTCTCGCTTCCAACTTGATTGGCGTTGACCTGTTGAAGAGCTCCAATCTGCTGCTGCTGGTTGGCGATCAGTTCCGTCAGCCGGAGAATTCTTCCGGAAAATCGCAGGAAATTTAGCTCATCGCCAAAATATGTTGTGTTCTCGAAGAGAAGAAAACTAGTTTTAGGTTTAAGAGTTAATTATATTTGACTTGTCTCTTCGGTGGTTGGAACTAAACTGACAAAATATAATTCAGTTTGTTACTTTCGTACCATGGCTACAAATCATGGCCTACCCAGGCAACATATTCTTCTGATGTGTACGCCGATGGTACACGCATGTTTCGGATCTTCCGGTGGACCATCCCGTAGTATCCAGAGTCCATATTCCGAACACAACTAAGAAACCACGGAGCTCTCGGATCAGTTTCGTGGATTTACCATTATACGGATGCTCCGGATGTTCCACAGGACCAGCCTTGTGTCCTACCGGAAATTGACCATTCCAAAAGGTGGCTAACTATCTGTTCAACAACTTTTCCATAGACATTAGGAAGTTATCTCTACAAATTGCCGTGCAATCAGTGTTTGGTTCCAATTAGCTCAAATCTCATATGGTCAGCGAATCCAAACAATACAGACAAAACGGTTGCTATGACTACCATGACAAACTCGCTCTGTAACATAGCTCGATCCGAGTGGTAGAAGGATAATGATATATTGCTTGCCTGCTTTGTTGCAATATACACGGATGAGGACATAGCTTGATATGAATCGAGAAAAGACATAACATAAAAATTCCCATTAACACACGTGTATCATGTTCGGTTTTACTTCGTGAAGCAGCTTGCCAACAATTTGCTCGTTTCCTTCTACCGCCCCGAGTGAGTTGTGTCGCACGAGCTGCTTGTCATGAAAAAGAAGGAAGAAGATTATATCATTATTGCTTTGCACTTCTGACATAGCGTTATTATTCGGTTCGTTGATCGTTTGTCATTTTGTCATTTGGAGATATTTTTGATTCCTTGCATATGGTATGTGTATTCGTTAATGCCGGATGGACCGTACAGTGGCATCAGTACTATCAGAATCAGGTAAGAAGGAATCTGTTCTATTGAAATCTTGACTGTATCTATTTTACCGGCGAATCGGTTCCGGAATATGCCTTCCAAGAAATAACGCCTTCTCTTCAACAAACGCAACAGGGGCAATTAAAACTTAATTTTTCGGAATCGGTTTTCCTCGACTGGAACACATGTTTGAAGCTTTGTGCCATAATCGAGAACACTCAAAACACTTTTGAAATCGTCAAGCACGTTTGAAAAGTTCATAAAATGATAAAAATTAACGCGAAAAAAAAAATACAGCTGCAAAAACCAAACACGTGAACTTTGCATACCACGATCTCCACTTTTGAGCAGAATAAAACAAGAGAACCGAAAATTTAACTACTAAACATTTCAAAATTTATGAAATAAGACAAAAAAGTTATCAATTTTAATCCGAACATCTAAAAATTTTAAAAGTCGTTTTTGGATAATCAAAATAAATGTTTTTTTTTGTGTGGCTAAAGCGTAGATATGAGAAATTAAAAAAATGGCATTTTAAAACTGCAAATGAATTGTTGGTGATTAAAAATAGGACAGACGAAAATTCTATAATATCAAAGTGGACAGTTAAAAACTGACAGTTGATGAAGCGAAATATGAGGAGCTAAAATTTAACTGAAAATTAACAACCGACTTAAATCTGACATGCGAAAAACGGTCAACTGAAATTGTTGTTGTTGTTTGAGACTTTTAGCCTAAGGTCAACTGAAAATTGAACAACTATAAATTAAACTTATTAACTACTTATTACTACTTATTTAAAATTGTGATCCGCAAACGAACCACTTAGTAATAAGACGAATAGAGTACATTTCCTATTATATTTTAATGAAAAACTTATGCACAATACGATTTTCGTTGAGATGTTTGCTATGCTTCTTTGCGCCGCCATCTTCTCTTGCTGTTCTGCGCTCGCTGGAACAACAAGTTTTTTGGATTTTCGAACGCTTTTTGTTCAATTTACTAAGTGAAGTACAACCAGGCAGTCAAGAGTGTAACTCTTTGAATAAAATTATCTTCCAAAAATAGTACTCTGGAGTCGCGGGGGATACGTGCTGCGTAAAATAACCGCGTAAATTCTGAAATCCGCGTAAAAAATACCGTGTGAATTCCGAAATCCACATAAAAACCGTAAATTCCGAAAACCGCGTAAAAAACCGAGTAAAAACCGACTCCAAAATATAACGATAAACCGTGTAAATTCCGAAATCCGCGTAAATTTCGAAATCCGCGGAAAGGAAACTGCGCGAATTCCGAAATCCGCCCAAAACGCGACCTTTGTGTATCGCCAAACGTATGACTTCAGTACCGACATCTCACGGGCTTCTCGCGGAAAACAGGCTGGCTCGCTAATTCGCAAGCAATGTTGCATGCAACAAAAACCAAATATGTAGAAACGTCAAAGGGATCCGATACCAGCGCTGCGACGAGTAGTTCAAGTAGTACATTGTTCTGAACAATTAAAATTGTATTGTAGTTTTACACGAATTTCCATGCATATAAAAAGAGCATGCATATTCATGTGAAACTAAATTGGGTTTTAAATTTACACGACTTGAAATTTACATGCTTGCATAATTAAACGTCACTTGAATTTGACATGGATGGTTTTACATGGGCTCACCTTGTAATTTTACAGGACAGTTCTAATTACACGCATTTCGCTTTTTGAACGAATTTTCATAAAATCTTGACAATCAGTTCGCGAAATTATCACGCACGCGGAATAGCCCACCTGAATGGCTTAAGATGAGCTCATATTGTAATTTTGCAGGACATTTAAAATTAGACGCATTTTGGTGTATTGCTACCTTTGCTACCTGGTTTGAATGAGATTAATGTACCATGACATCGTGTTATTCCGTGCGGGTGATGATTTCGCGAACATGATATTCGCTTTTTTATATTATTCGTTCGAATTGATGCATACACACTTAAAAAAATTGATATAAATTTAGGACCTCTGAAACTGGCATATACGAGCGTAATTGAGTTATAAAAGATGTGAAATTCAACTCAATCAAACGTACTTTCGAACTTTTCTGTCTCGGAGCACTTAATTTTACATAACATGTTTGTTTACGTCTCATCCTTTATGTCAAATATAGATTCCGTCATGTGTAATATTAGTTATTTCTAAGTGTGTAATCATAAACAGACATAACACATTGAATATTTCGCACTGTAAAACATCGTCGTTAAAACATTACCGCCATCTGTTGAGTACACTGTGGTGGGTAGTACGCTGAACAGATTGCAGTAGTGTGTAAACGTCAAACGCATGGGAAATGACTATGCACGCCACAGGTGGCGGTACTATCAACTACGATACTTTTTAATTGACCGTTAAATGCTTGTTCGATGAACGACTTGTGAGAGTTATGTCTGTTTGTCTGTGATATATGTATTTTCAATCGTATCTCGAGCTTAGCAATACACTTAGAAATACCTAATCTTATACGTGACGAAATCCATCTTCAAAAATCTCCATTCAAAGTTCAAATAATTTGCGCGACCCCTAAAACTTCAACAATCTTTACCATTTTTGGCATAGTCTATTATTTTGGGGTAATCGAACCACCCTCCAGGCCTATCATAAATTCATCACCTTTTCCAAAATGAAGCACCCTAGTGTACACGCAGCACGGAGTCAGGTATGCGTCATAACCTTACAATCCCAGTAGCGTCATACCAATCCTAAACCCCTCCATGGTTCCGTGTATGACCCATTAATCCACGGTTAAGCAGCAAGGCCCAGTTCGTGGGCGTTCCACCCACTCGTGCAGCACAGTCGAGTGAAAGTTTTCCAGCACGCTGAGGATCGACCCGTTCGTTGAGCTTCATCAGTTATGGAGTCCACCCAGCAGCAGTTCGAGATCCCATCAACGCTGGCCAGCAAACACACAGGCTCGAGCTAGTCTGTAAAAGAGGCATATGTAGCCCACCCCAGACGGCCTCCGTTGGCTTGACCAGAGGTTTCTGGTCCTTCACTAACAAAGCAACAAATTCATTTCCACTGCTACTACCACTACTACTTAAAAGTAATTATGTATGTAGAGATGATCACCCTACCATTGAACCCATGCGTAAATTTCAACATGAAGCAATTTTGAGCAAGTTTTCTTTAGCAACCAATTGCAGCAATTTGTATTGTTCAGATGATGCATTGTTCTGAGAAAAATTTAAGTTCAGGAGCCCAATCTTTTGATCCATAAGCCAAATTTAGAGCCATTTCCCCTACCTAATCAAATATTCTACAAAGTCACCATGAAGGTAGTTCTACCGTCCGTCCCACACAGGCACAACTGAAAACAGTAATTTACGCTGTGGAATTTCCAAACCAATCATTACCGAAAGTGTAATTTCACTCAAAACCGAAAATTATTGTTCCCTTTATTGAAAATTTACACCGCAGCATTTTGTGTGAGGTCATTACAGCCGAAAATTATTGGTTCTCAGCAGCCTATTTCCAGGACCACCAGTCAGCCTCAGGCGCTCACAGCGTTACAAACAAAGTAATGAACAATCGTTATTAACTCTTACCACACTATAACCGGGTGGAATATTTTAAACCGTACATAAGTGCCACACCAGTCGGCAGTGTATAGGTACGTACTAAAATCCACATGTTCCTCAATGTATTACCGCATATTTAATATGCAAACTTTCCCAATCACTATTCACATCGGATTCTGGATTCAGCCGACAGAAGGGTTAATGCCATCGTTTCCATCACCAGGCGAAGAGAACAAAAGAGTCGCTTCCCGTAGCCCTGTATGGCAGAATCCTATGTGGTAAATGGTTCTAGAAAAGGACACATACACACATACACACACTTACACACTTCACGTAGGAGAGAAGAGTAAGTGCTTGCCATTCATCGACGCTTTATTGAACGGAACTCGTCGTCGCACAAAGCACAAAAGAAAGGTAATTGTAAATCAAAATGAATCGTTCTACGTGACCGCTCTGGTTGGGGTGTCGATTGAACGGCAGAACGGCA